CCACTGAAACTGTACTAATGTCACTGGGGAGGAAGGGGTTAACATTTTTAGAATTTGCTGTGTAAGAAGAGTGTTCTACTAGGGGGCGGGGGTGTGTGTACTGGATGGGGGGAGGGAGGGGGGAGCTGAGAGGGAGAGAAACTCTGCAGCTTCTCACAAGCTGTCAGAGAACTGACATAGAACAGGGCTGTGTGTAAACAATGCAGCCCTGCTCTGTGTCAGCGATCACCGTCAATCTCGGGAAAACGTCCGGTAAAAACCGGCCGTGACCCGGGCTGACGGCTGACACCCGCTGCTGACACCCGCGGGACAGGTAGGGCGGGCGTGCGCCTCGCGCGCGCCCCCCTACTTCTTTTGAAGGCGGCCATTTTTTTTGCTTTTGCCTACGAGTGCCGCCCTGCCGCCGTTTATATGCGGTGGCTGGGCGACAAGTGGTTAAGAGTCACCTCAAATTTCAGAGTTCATCTTAATGCCAAAAGGAGCTGTGTCATATCATTGTGGGTGTTTAAATCATTAGTGGAGCTAGGGCCAGATTTCTCAAAACTAACATATGCAGTGGGCTTTAGGAGGTACCAAGCCAACCACACAATGAGTTTGTGACATTCCTATGTATAATAAAAGGTTTCAGACTGCCACCCTGCATATTAGTGCCATCCGGGCCAGGTCCTCATTGTTGCTGCAACAACACAACTTGTGCATTTCCAGACTTCCAAAGCTGAATTTCTTTCTTTTGAAACCTTTCTTTGAGGTGTGATGGCTTTGTGTGAACAGTTTGGATTAGTTAAATGTTGCCAGTAAAATTATTTCACCATTGGTGGTCAAGATTATATTTTAAAGTGTATGTGAACCCTCACCTTGTAAAACAACCTATTCATGTTAAAATAGAAATCAAATGCAAAACTTGTGTGTATACATATAAAACATTAAACATATCTTTTTGTTTCCTAATGTATAAATGATCACATACCCTCTGTTCTCAACTACATAAGGAGCTCAGAGAGCTAGGGGAGGAGAAACAGCAATACACCAATCTTCCTAGTGAATGGTTATGTGTGGGGGAGTTACCGGGGAAAGGGGGTGGGGCATGACAGCACATGTCTAGTCATTGAAGGAGAGCAGGCTGAATTCACAGCACAGCCAGACAACTAATCTAGCTGTGTTCTCATGCTTAGTGTGGTCAGTTTTTAATAGGAAAGCAGAGGGATTCTATTGGGGATTGGCAGGAACACCAAGGGTTTCACACAAAGGAAACAATACAAAAAGAACAGGATACTTTTCAGACAAGCACACGGTACAGCAGGTACATATCAAGAATATGAAATGTTGGGATAACATATTCTTTACCTGAATCAGGACCACTGATAATGAAAATACAATCCTGGTTTTAATTGTAATGGAAATGTATATTTCAATTGCTATAATATGGTATGTTGTAACAGTATTGTTGGATCGTTAGCACCAGGGGCGGACTGACCATTTGGAAACTCGGGCACTGCCCGAGGGCCCGGGGTCAGTAGGGGGCCCCATGAGATGCCCCTAGTACCTTTTTCATAGGCTTTTATGAGTTTGGGCAAGGACACAGGACCATGATCCCCTATTGCCCGGGGGCCCCATGAGTTGTCAGTCCTCCCCTGGTTAGCACACTACAGCATTAAATAGCCCTTTAGTTTCTGCGATAACAGATATGTATTTAATGGTGCAACAGCTTGTATTTCCTGTTAATGTGAGATTTAACACCTTGTTTAAAACTGAACTGAAATCAATGTATTGAATGCCTGTAAAGGGAACTCCTGGCTGTTGAAAGCATAAAAGAAAGTTGAGAGCTTGTGACATGTGTCTTAAACTTTTAGGGGGGTTAATAGCAAGAAGTTAGCCCCTAAATTGATGGTGGGAGTGAAGGTAGTAGGCAGAGGTCACCCAACATCCAAGAGACAAGGTCCAGCCTCCTGAGGATTACCCCAACATCCAACCCTATGGTTGTTATTGTCATAGCCTTTATTGGTGGCAAGAAATAGTATCTGATTATGCTTTTAGTGAGTCTTGATTAGTTGGATGTCTTTCCTGAACGTATGTTTAGACCAGGCCGTGTTATGTATAGTGCTCACAGTACAAGTGGATGGCATTGGTTTTGCTGTCAACTGCAAGGAATAATATGCCATGCCTTCCTAGAAAAGTATTAGAGGTACATTTAAAAGGCAGCGTATAGCCCTATTGCGTTACAAGAAAATTGCTCCACACATTTTTAAAGCACGGGAGTGTGTTTTGCAAATGTGCTTTGTGCTTTGCTGGTTATCGGAGTCTGAAACTGGAGTAGCACAATAAAAGTGAACAGGAGTCTTAAAAAAAAACAGGTGAGAGCCTTCACTAGACTGACTCTCCTCTGATTATGGAGTCCCCCCTGAGGCCCTGTGGAAAGAGCTTCATGAAGTACCACCTGCTCAATTCCATGGCCTGAATTTTATTAATAGGTTGTAAAATTAGGATTGTTGTTGTAACAGTACCTCAGTAGGAGCTGTTAAGCAAAGGATGGATCCTTTGAAGTCGCACATCTATGCAGACCCACTGGTATTAGAATGAATGGTAGTGTCAGCCTGGGCTCCCCCCAACACCCACTGGTACCCCAGTAGGAACTGCAGTATTAAAAGGTCTCATAGGTATAGCCTCATAGTTGCCCCACAGCCAGGCACACAATCACGGTTAGTCCTATGGCTCAATGAACATTCTAGGGGGATGCTTTTTTGGTGCTTTATTGCAGAACTTGAACTTGGGTAACTGTGGAATAATCCAGTAACTTTAGTAGCAAGTTGAGGACATTAATCTTCCTTCTTTAAAGCTCTAAGCCAAGTCCTAGACTGAGCAAATAGTGGACTGAGCTTGGTAGTAGCAACTTAAAGATGCTGAACTTCCAGATGGTATTATACCCCATCAAGACTACATGTATTGTTCCCACAAACATCCCCTTTATGTTTCCGGGGCTGTGGCCTCACAGGTACCTTGGTTCACATTTTGGGATTGCCCGACCATATCTCTGATTTGGCGCAAGTTATCTGAGGTGGCTACCTCATTGGTGGGTATCCCAGTGCAATTGTCTATACAGACCTGTTTATTGGGGCCTCATATCCCAGGGGTCTCTAATGACATTATGAGATTGATACATACTATTTGTATTACCACTTTGTGGGCTATTGCCTCACATTGGAAGTCCAACACTGTACCCTTAACCACCGTTTTGCATAGAATTGATGCTGTGATGCTCATGGAGTGTATTCATTATACCCTATTGGATAAGATGCACTTATTTGATAAAAAATGGGAATCTTGGAAGGATTATAGACATTTATTACATGTTTAATAACATCCCAAGTGAAGATTGACTGGTATATATTGCTCACAGAAGTAACATTTAGCCTACTTAATCGTTCACACATTTCATGTACTTGCAATCTACCTTTTTTTCTATTTCCTCTCTTTCTTATACTAATATAATTTTATGTATTGTACTTTTCAAAAGTACCTTGTTTTTGCTGTTATTATCATTTGAAACTGTACTGTTGTTTTACAGTCTATTTTTCAAAATAAAAACGTTTGTAAACAAAAAAAGATGCTGAACTTCCTCTTAAAGACATGAGCAGAGACCTTTCACAAGTTATTAATGGACTGAGTTTTTCAGGACACCTTGCACCTTGTCTCCTTTGAACACAGCTGATGCTAGCACCACGGGAGTCTCAAGGATCTCTCACACTAGTCTGTACTCACTAATGTCCTTCAATAATTGGTGGCCTACTTCCAATAGTTTCAAGACACTTTTTTCTAGTGATACCAGACTAGACCCACAGCCAGAAAGCCCCTCAATCAGCTTGAGCAATTTTCAGCAATTACTATAGGCCCCCTAGCTTTCCTAGCTGGGACATCTATGAACAGCAGACACATGCCAGGCTTGCCTAGGGAGCAAACAGCCCCCCTAAACTGCGAGATCCTCCTCAAGGACAAGACATATCTGTTCCAGATCTCAGATTATTTATACACACTCTCAGCCACCATCTGCACAACTCTCCTCAGGAATTGGCTATGTGTGCATAAATATTCAGCTGCCAATCTGACTTTCCCAACTGTCTATATTCCTGAGCATTTCCAGCCATACAGGGGGGAACAGTCAACCCTACAGCCAGTGAGACACAGGACAGACATAACAAATCACATGCAGCCACACTGATTACAGTGAGCTAAGATCTAAATTTACCTTACCTAGCACCAGGGGCGGACTGACCATTTGGAAACTCGGGCACTGCCCGAGGGCCCGGGGTCAGTAGGGGGCCCATGAGATGCCCCTGGTACCTTTTTCATAGGCTTTTATGAGTTTGGGCAAGGACACAGGACCATGATCCCCTATTTCCCGGGGGCCCCATGAGTTGTCAGCCCGCCCCTGCCTTGCACCTATCTAGGAGGGTTCTACATTATACTGAGAAATATTGTGGAGTATAACACTGTAGTGAACAGCAATTCTTGCTCTCCTTTATAAATCAGCCCCTTAGTGTCCTTTATGTGGTTTAAACCAGTGAAGATGTATTTCATGCATTGGGTTAGACAAACTGGCAATGGCTATGCTTCTCAAAAGTCATGCAAAAGTAATAGTTATCAACAGCATATTTCAAATCATACTAAAAAATGATTAGAATCTTTCCCAGCCCTTACATTCACCAAACTGTGTTGCAATGCAATGTAAGATGTAACCATAGATATTTAGTCAAGAAACAGATATTTTCCTGAGATTGTGACTTTGCAATGTAGCTGAGAAATACAGACCAATAAAGGAGAAAGCACCATTAATTTATGCATCTTGACATGAGATGTATAATGAAATGAACCTCATTAACAATGACCTTCTCCAGTTCATTTTATTCTCAGGCTGTTAGAATACAGAATACAGTATTATTGAAATCTAGAGTTTTATGTAATCAATCTGGAATTAATCTTCTCTAGTTTAGACTTCTCTCATCTACAAAAAGCCATGTCATGCCATACGATCAAGGATATGTGCAGGGGCGTACTGACAACTCATGGGGCAATAGGAGATCATGGGGCCCCTGTGTCCTTGCCCAAACTCAAAAAAGCCTATAAAAAAGGTACGAGGGGCATCTCATGGAGCCCCCTACTGACCCCGGGCCTTCGGGCAGTGCCCGAGTTTCCAAATGGTCAGTCCACCCCTGGATATGTGTAATCTGAAGGTACTGAATACTAGTGCAAGAAATGTATCAGGGTCCTTGGGATTCCCCAGCACCCCTTTTCCAACACCCTATCCATTGTGAAACCCCCATACACCCCACACATTTAACATCCCTACATTTTTAAAAGTCCCTCTTCCATTATTTTTAATTGACCTTAAGTAAGAAATACAAGACGTGACAATTTAATTCCTGGAATGGACCCTATCAAACACCTCTGCATCCTTCTAATCTTCTGCCAAGACTCAAGGCACCATCTTTGTGGAAATCTTTTAAATTCCCAAATCCCATTAGCATCTTCCACACTGTTCCTCTATTCATGTTCAATTCTTCTGCCGCCATTCACACACTCAGTCTTTGATCTGAGAGTACGAGAATTTGCGTTCTGTCCACATTTGCATCCATCCTTTGCTTTTTTGGCTTCCCACTTCTTGCATCATCGTGGACATCTTCCTGTCCTTCCTTAAACCACCTATGCCATTAAAATCCATCTGATTTCTTCACGGAATGTTCACCATAAGCCTTTTGGAACAGTGCTGAAGTTTCACTCACACTTTTGCCAATTTCGACGCAATATTTGATGTTAATTTGCTGCTCCAAATTCCTATCACTCATTTTCCACCAACAGCAGCTGTAAGGCTAGAGGAAGACCCGCTAATTGGTGGAGCTAGTCGGCATCCCTCCTCACTCGTTCCCAACAACTGACAGAGGAAAGCTACAGGTCTATGGGCGGCAGTTGGGGGGGACTGCAAAGTGTTTCAGAGGCCCCGCCTCCTTCGTCAAGCAGCGTAACAAAGGAGGCAGGCCTCGGAAACACCCACCTGCTGCCCACAGACCTGTCACTTCCCCCTGTCAGTGGACAAAATACGATTCCTCCTGCGCTCCAGGACCCAGGCCGGTGGCAAGTAGGTGAATTCAAACCCAAACGAAACGACCACCAGAGCATGAAAGGTCGTGCAGCTCCAAAACAAGGCTGGGGAAGCCCGAACAATACTGCAAAGTGAAAAAAACAAGAAGCGCACCAACCTTGCGCATTACCTCAGTAACCAAAATTTATTAGTAAAGGAATGGTACTCACAAACAGCGAATAAAAACAGGCATGTAAGTCCTCCAAGGGACTTCAGAGACAAGAGGCCAGCGCGAATCCCATCATGGGGGTAGACACTCAGTACAGCTGACGTGTTTTGAAGGTCGTACCTTCTTCCTCAGAGCTCTGAGGAAGAAGGTACGACCTTCGAAACGCGTCAGCTGTACTGAGTGTCTACCCCCATGATGGGATTCGCGCTGGCTTCTTGTCTCTGAAAATCCCTTGGAGGACTTTTTTTTTCACTTTGCACTTCCCCCTGTCAGTCATTGGGAACGAGTGAAGAGAGACGCCGACTAGCTTCATCGGTCAGCAGGTCTCCCTCTAGCCGTGCAGCTGGCTTCACCATCTGAAGGCTCTCATATGTGCATGCCGACCCGACCACTAGAGCAATTTACAGCTTTTTTACATGTGAGTGAGCTACATTAAATTATTGTTGGTGTTTACACATGCTAATCTGGCGCCCTTCTTTCTACATTTAATTGTCACATCTTGTACAATACAAATTTAAGTTTACCATGCAAAAACATTTTCAGAAGTGTTGATACAGTAAGAAACAACTTCTCTCTTGTCTCCTCGGCTTCTACTTTGTTTGGTTTATATTTGGATTTTTGACAGTTTTTTTGTATTTGAGAAGTGAATATTCACCAAGGATTAAAAAAAAAGCAATTTTTAGGTATGGCTCACACACTTCACACAACATCTGTTTTACAACAGAAATCTTAACAAGTGATCAATACACAGAGCAACACGACACATGTCATGGTGGCAGACTGCTGAGCAGTGCCTACATTATCTTAGCCTACTCAGAACCAATTATTATCTCTTGACAATTTCTAAAGCTGGAACACAAATGAAGAAGTGATTAACATGTTTTAGAGTGCAATAAAAACTGGGGTGCTACATACAAATAGTAGGTTTTTACCTGGGGTGCCTGCTTTGTAAACTGATGGAATAAACAGGGAGACCACTAGCTGGTGTATCAAATTAAATAAATACATTAAAACAGTCCAAATTACATGTGATACCAAACTGTGCAAATAATAAGTGTTCAATACACAGTGATTCACAACTTCATTCCATGCTGCAAACATGCTCCTAGTGACACTCTGATGTGACTCCCCTGGATTTAGCCAAAATGCCTCCTCACCTTCCAAATTCGACCCTTACGGGTCATAAAGCCTTAAGTATAAAGAATCTCAGCCTGGTTTTATTAATCCACTGACTCCACCGACTTAATTAAGGTCCCCCTCCGAACAACGAATTCCTCTCAGACCACTCTCCTCACCATATGGACTCATATATACAGGGCATATATGTAGAGAGAAAAACAGACCTCCATAGTGCAACACTGTTTTAATGCACTTAAAAGCTCCAAAAAAATGAACACTCACATGTTTTCCAATGGATAGACACAGTTTGGGTGATATGGATGTAGTAAGGAATAGGTGTACCAAAATGGCGTCCGAACCCGGAACCGGAAGTACGTCACCACTCAACCAGAAATGCGTCGGAGTAGGAGTGAGAATTGGCACTATTTATTTATTAATGGTTTTTGTATATTTTATATTTATGTGAGCATGAATTCACCATTGTTATCACGATATTTGTTATTATCTCAGAAGGGATTTTATGAATTGTTTTTTTATACACTATATAAGCTGAGCGCTTCATCACAATATTTTTTGTTATTTGCATATATCCTATGGTATAGGGAAAAGATTCTGTGGAGCGCAGGGGGACCTCTGTATATTTATCTATTTTCAGACCACTAGCTGGATTTACGGGAGGGAGAGGGAGAGAGGTCAGCATGGTCACCACCCGGATGTAAATATTCCATACCAGCGTGACAAGTAGGCACTAGACTAGGCCAAGCAGTAGAACAGTAGTTTCTAAAAGTGTTGTCCTTCAGTTTTAGTTTATATAAGATAAACATATGTGTTTCCCAATCCAGCTATCTTCTGCTGGAGAAGGTGAAAGTCTCACATCTATGGCACACGCAGACATTGCTGGTGGACAATGCCAGGACAGCAGTAAGGTCTTCCATGATCTGAATATCATTCACTCTGGCAAACCACTGTTGAAGTGTCGGAGGGCATATTGTTTCCAAGTACTCAAGATACATGTTTTTGCAGAATTTGGTACAATAAATGAATTAATAGTGATTTCTTATAAATCCTCCATGACATGGGTGTCAGGTAGAGAAGGACAGCAGTAAGGTTATCAGTCAGAAAGAATCCTGTAAGTTGTTTTATGATCTCTAAAACTTCTTGCCAGAAGGGATGTAATACAGAGCAGTCCCAAAGACATGTAAAATGGAGCCCAAATGTAACTTATAGTAAGTTCAAGCTGGCTACTTGGTGGAATCCATAAAGCATGTTTCAGCTGTAATAGCATTCTTCATAGCTATGTGCAGGGGCGGACTGACAACTCATGGGGCCCCCGGCAATAGGGGATCATGGAGCCCCTGTGTCCTTGCCCAAACTCAAAAAAGCCTATGAAAAAGTTACCAGGGGCATCTCATGGGGCCCCCTACTGACCCCGGGACGTCAGGCAGTGCCCGAGTTTCCAAATGGTCAGTCCGCCTTTGGCTATGTGCTTTATGATCTTTATGACCTGCTGCCAGAAGGGGTGTAATACAGAGCAGTCCCAAAAGACATGTGAAATGGAGCCCATATGTAACCCATAGTAAGTCCAAGCCAGTTACTGGGTGGGATGCTTGAAATATGTTTGGCTGTAAATTCATAAATCTATGAATGTACATGAATAAACAGCAACTCAAGGCTTAAAGCAGATCTAGAACTGAATGTACAGTATACAGTATTTTTTGTGTGTGTGTGCTCAGTACACGCATGTTAACCCCTTCCCGCTGCTACCTCCCGTCTCTTTAAGAACTTCTAAATGCCAGAAGGTGGAGGCGGTCATGTGACCACTGTGATATCTGTGATTGCTGTGATTGGCTGTCACAGCGGTCACATGATCAGAATGCTCCTGATTGCTAGTACACATCGGCAGTTTTCTGGTCCCCACCAGTGTCTGTGCTGGGAGAGCTCATATATGCAGCCACTCAGGTTTAAAGCCCACCCCCTGAGATGCCACATATATGTGCCACATCAACGGGAATAGAATGAGATATGTGAAAATAAAACACTGACAGGTATTTATTATCTCTCATGGAAGTCACAATACTTACCCTGACAGTGCCTTTATCTAAATTTAAAGTTGGGAGCATCTTTGTTCCAGCTTCTTCCAGGGTTAGCATCTACTTCGCAAATTGAGATACTGGCTCAAAAACTTAAAAAAAATGTAACTCCTGGTTTCTGTGTAGTTTTTGGCTGTGTTCACAAATGTCTGACACAGATCAGCCCCCTGCTGAAGCTTCTCATCTTGTGATTTGCTACAATAATACAGTTTAATTATTGGATGTGAGAAAACTGAGGAAATGTTTCCCTCTGCCTTTGACTGATGACATCATCTCAGCCTTGGCTTTCTTTTAATTGGAGATTAAGAATTACTTTTTAATAGTAAAAAGTAGATTGTTTTATTTTTAGAAAAAATGATACCGTGGTTGTATATTAGGTGATGTCAGTAGTTTGTTCATGCAGAATTGTAAAGTTACTAGGATGTCAATTTTAATATTGTGCAGCAGGGAAGGTAGGCTGGTCACAAGGACACATGGATGACTATAAATCTATTAGTGGGCAAAACATTTCCTTTATACGTGTTTCAATTGTGTTGTTAGCTGTTTGACCTTTAAATCAGTAATGTGAATCTACATTTTACCTTTAAATGTGCAATGCCTTAAAATGAAGCTCCATTTTTATTTTTAAAATAAAAAAAAATAATCCCCAGGTTAGTTATTTGCATTTAGAGGGAAGATTTCCAGATATTTATTTTTATTACAGGTATTTTTATAGCAATGACAAGTTATGTATACTTTACTTACTGTACATTTACATCAGTCCCTGCCCCCTAGGAGCTTACAGTCTAAAGCTGACCATGCATTATTCATTTTTCTTTCATTCAACCAGCAGGTTGTATGGAAAAAAATGATTTGATTTCCCCATCCACACATTCAAAGTGGATGGGGGATTCACTCCCACTGTGGCTTTGTATTCTGACGGCCATCAGAACACACTGATCAGTGTTGCTAACTATAGTCAGCAGCACTAATTGTTCTGGAAAAACCCAACAGGCTGGCTTTACAGAAGTCAATTGGTAGATCAACATCTGTACAACCAGCCTGCCCATGCATGTATCAAAATTCCACTGGTCCCTGCTCAACCAGCCAAATGGTGGTCCATATGTGGCTGCCTTAACCACTTCCTGGCCGGACACTTTTACCCCCTTCCTGACCAGGGCATTTTTCAGCTTTCAGTGCTATCACGCTTTGAATGACAATTGCGTGGTCATGTAATACTGTACCCATATGAATTTTTTACCATTTTTTTGAGACAGATAAAGCTTTATTTTGGTGGTATTTATTCACCGCTGGGATTTTTATTTTTTTTTACTATGTAAATGAAAATGTCCAAAAATTTTGAAAAAAAGTGGGTTTTTTAATAAAATTTTGCAAATAAATAATATTTCATCATATATCTTGGCCAAAATTTATTCCATTATTTTTTTAGTAAAAAAAAAAAAATCCAAATTAGTTTATAACCAAAAATTATAATTTTTAACCATTTTTTTTTTACATTTTTATTTTATTTTTTTTATATTATTTTTTATTTTTTTTTTACATACTGTCACCCTAGCAGTACAGTGTCACCATGGTGACACTGTACTACTTGTGGGGGGTGATGAAGATTTTTCTTTTTTTTTTACACTGATTGCTTTTACACCCATATAGGATGTAAAAGCAATCATTTCTCTTTCTCTCTGTCTGCATTCTTGCAGTCATTGAGAAGTACTGAGTGAGCTGTGATTGGTCACAGCTTGTCACATGGTACAAGGCTGTTGTGAATAGCCTTGTACCATGTGACCTCTGTGATCATTCAGCGCGCACAGCTAGAAAAGGCGGGTGCCGTATATGAACTGCAACCCGCCCGTGGAGTGCCACCGCCCTGCCGTTTATCAACAGCAGGCGGACGGCAAGAGGTTAAGGTCTCGATCTCACATGCATACATACTAGGGTCAATTTAGACAGGAGCCAATTTAAGTGTCAGTAAACTCTGGTATATAATTATTCAAGTATGTATTTATACTCAAAAAAGTGTCTTCTATTGCTCTCAGCCTCCTCAAAATCTCCCAGTTTATTTTTTTGCTGCTCTGATTTGACTTCCTTTTAGAGGGTGGCTACGTTCGTTCTCCAGGGTCCCACTGCATGTGGAAACCTAACCACCCTCTCTTGCTTGCTTCCAAGATGGGCTCGAGAATATAGATTATGGGATGTGCAGTGTGGATAGAGCAGTGCGCATGACCACAATCATCGCGCGCTGCTTGTTCCAAACAAACAGAAGTGGAGGGAAGGAGAGGTTTGGGAATTCATGGGGGACTCTACAAGGAGGCAGAAAAACACAGTATGATCAAATTTCATGAAAAATAGATCTCAGGATCATTAACCTCCCTGGCGGTATGATTATTTCAGATTTTTGGTGCTGAAAGCGGTACCATTATTTTGCATGGAAATATGTATTTTTTTTATTGTAGGCCTCTAATTTTTAGGAATAACTCACTGAAATCTGTCCGAACAAGAGTCTAGTAAACATCCCGGGTATGATAAAATTTGAAACACGAAATCATAAATTATAATTTAATAAATAATCATAAAAAATAATAATATAATAATAATTTTAATTCAATAATATAATCAAACCAAAAACACTGAAATTTGAAATATAGCGCCAAGTTCGCACATCGCTGAGCAAAGTCGCAAAATCGTTTTCAGTGTCTGATGACGAATTTCCCCACAAATCATTATCACTCAATTCTGCAAGTAGTTCTGATTTACTATCGCTGTTCTCTAGCTGGTCTAAAACCGCTTTTGACCTAAAGGGACGCTTTTTGGGACGCCATGGACTTTTCTCAGTTTCCAGGCAGAAAGAACAGACAAAATGCAGGCAGGGCACAGGACAAAGCACTCGGGACAAAATGTATGTGAAATGGGTTGAAACAGCTATGTTTTGCTATGTAAAATTTGTTTTGAAAAAAATGACATTTTTTAAAAGTTTCAAATTTCCCGCCACCGGCGGCGCCCGTACGTCCCGACGTCACAGGGACCGGAACACAGAAGCCAGGTGGCGGCATCGGCCGGAGGAGATGGCCGGGGACGCTGCAGGGGACACATCGCGGGAGCGAAGGACAAGGTAAGCTCTGCAGGGACTCCCTATGCAGCGCCGCATGGTAAGCCCGAGTGTAGCTGGGGGTTACCACTCTTGGTACTGACATTTTACCCCGAGCTACACTCAGGAATACTGCTAGGGAGGTTAAAGTGGTTCTAGGCATAAGGTTTTTTACCTAAAAGCATTCTTTGCATTAGGTTAAAAAAACGTCTGGGTGCAGCTCCCACCCCACCTTAATACTTACATGAGCCCCATCTCGTTCCAACGATGTTCATGAGAGCCTCAGCTCTCCCAGGTCTCTCTCTCCTCATTGGCTCAAACAGTGGGAGCTATTGGCTCCTGCTAATGTCAATCACAGGCAGTGAGCCAATGAGGGGACAGCAGGGGGGGAGGTGAGTCAAGCTCACAGGGGTGTGGATTAGGAGCTAGCCTACTCAAGTGCCCCCATAGTAAGAGGCTTGCTATTAGGGGCGCTCAGCTGGGAAGGGGAGCCTGGACCGTAGATGGGGACCCAAAAAGAAGAAGATTGGCAAAGCCATTGCACAGAGCAGGTAAATATAACATGTTTGTTAGTTTTGTGCAAAAAAATTCCAACCTTTAGAATCACTTTAGGTAGTGGATATGTACTGTACTCAGGGGCGGACTGACAGCTCATGGGGCCCCCGGGCAATAGGGGATCATGGGGCCCCTGTGTCCTTGCCCAAACTCCAAAAAGCCTATGAAAAAGGTAACAGGGGCATCTCATGGGGCCCCCTACTGACCCCAGGCCCTTGGGCAGTGCCCGAGTTTCCAAATGGTCAGTCCGCCCCTGACTGTATGGATAATTTATCAGGGAATAAGAATATAATTTAGAGTCACTTTAACCGAACAGAATGTCTTGGGAGTGTGGCGGGAACTGGAGTCTCAGGAGGAAATCCACAAGCAAACTCCATGCAGATAGTATTCCAACTCAGATTTGGGATTTGCAGTTGGGATTTTAACTTTTGTAATAAAGACAGTGCTTGTTTATACTAATGTGGTGTTAGATACTCTTCTCTTTTTTTTTAAATTGTTTGTATTGCTAATATTTTTTTTTTCTCGTCACATCAAAATTGATATGAGTCTTTTGCCATGCTTTGACGCCTCCCAAAGTTTCCATTGATGTCAATGTAAATGCATTAAAAATGTGCCAAAAATGTCCATTATGGAGTTTACAGCACATTTGAAATGTGTTTATAAAGCGTTACTAGCCATAAGAGAACATATATATCTAAGTTATCAGCAAAGGTGAAAGGTTCTCTCGAGTCAGGGATGCCTGAGATTATATCTCAAGCTTTGTGAACATTTAGGAAGACTGATCTTTTGTGAGCATAAAATAATTTTATAAGCAGAAAATAATTCTTGGGGCATGCTGTATACAAATTAAAATCTGTTGCCATGGTTACCAGGATGCAACGTTTCTATTTTTCCACAGTTTTAGAAAATGTTACCTGACTGCAGATTGAAATGGAAAGCTAATTTTAATATTATTACATTACAAATGGCTTTTGCTGGAGTTGAATATATCATTATTGTTATTTTTTTTAAAAATTTTAAGAAGTGGAGTTTTAACTGTTTTTAAAAGTGCTAACAGCTAAGGATGGATGCAAAAGAAAAGAGAAAAAGAAAAGAAAATTGAAGTCGTATTACCTCATTATATAACAGGTGTAGACGTTTCTAGTAAACAGACATGCAAGACAGTTAATATCTTAATATTCTGCAATATGTTCCATGTAAGCCTGATATTTGCATATTCATTAGTTTTGGCATTTTTACAGCTCATTGTCTCTAGTCTGCAATATCCTGAAAATTTGGTGGATTAAAGCACATTAACTTATTCTCTTATGTGAGTCCCAACAGGGATTTATATGGTTGTATTTCTCTGCTCCCGTTTTCTTAGAACCTTGATACACATCACTTGTGCTCCTTCATGCAGGAAGAACCATTTCCTTTTTTTCTGGGGTTGATCAAATGTGTCCTACAATATGTTAGAGTATTTAAATATTTTAAAGGTGATCTTCAGGCAGATAAAAAAAACACCAACTAATGAAGTTATGTATTCATGAAGAATACACTTTTAACCAGTTCCTGCCAGCTATACGCATATACGTGGCCTCCTTTGAGGACCGTAAGATTTTGGAACGCCAAAAGAATCAATTTTTTTGTTTTTAAAGTTCGTACATTTCAGTTGCTGTAACTAAGCCATTTCATGAAATAATTGGCAAAAAGCTACATCCATTTGTTGTTTGTTGATAAGAACTAATATTTTGACTCAAACCAAAAAAAAAAAGAGTTTTAAGTTCTTAATCAGATGATACACACAATTAAAAACATGGGACAAATACGTCCCTTGGTCCTCAAAGGGTTAATGGGTGGGCTTTAACACCAAGAGGCCACATATATGCCTTCCTATGTAATCATTTTCCTATGCTGAGAGCACTCACCCTGTGTGCTCCCAGCACTGTTGCCAGCGGGTACCAGAAAGCTCCTAATGCATATTTGCAACCAGGAGCTTCCCGATCATGTGATTGCTGTGACTGCCAATCACAGCAGTCACATGATTGAAATACCCACCTCAGCCATCCAGCATTTAGAGTCTATTAAAAGTTAGGGAGGCATCTGCAGGAAGGGGTTAACTCAGCTAGTGTAAGTATCTGAATTTGGATATATAAGAGCATCCTGTATTTTGTTGCTCAACAGCGCTCAGACTAAAAGATGTTGGTTACCTTTAGTGTCCTCAGGGGATGCTAGTCTTCCTCAAGCCTTAGTACATTCTGTTGTGATTTTAGTAACTTTTCAAGCCCTGAAGAAGCCCCCCCCTTTCTCCTTTCCCCAAAACATGTTGATAGTATTTGATGCTCGTAAACATTTAATATTTGAAAAAGTCCTTCAAGTGAGATGAACTTTTTTTACCAGGCATTCTTCTGTACAAAACCAAGAATTTGCTGTATGGTCGGCACTTCCTTTACAGCGGTAGTGATTTTATTAACATTGACTTTTCAAGTCCTGCAGAAGGGGGTGGCTTCTTTCCCTGAAATGTATTGACCGTATTTGATGCTCTTAAACAAGAAATGTTTCAAAAAGTCCTTCAAGTGAGATGAACTTTTGTACCAGGCACACCTCAGTACCCATCCAAGAAGTTACTGTCTGGCGAGCACTTCTTTTGTTGCCATCTTGATTTTATTAACATTGACTTTTCAAGCCCTGAAGAAGGGGTTGTTTTTTTTCTTTGAATCGTGTTGACAGTATTTGATGATTTTATACATGAAATGATTCAAAATGTCTTTCAAGTGAGCTGAACTTTTGTACCAGGCACACCTCAGTACCCATCCAAGAAGTTACTGTCTGGCGAGCACTTCTTTTGTTGACATCTTGATTTTATTAACATTGACTCTTCAAGCTCTGAAGGGGGGTGGCTTTTTTCCTGAAATATGTTGGCTGTATTTGATGCTTTTAAACATGAAATGTTTCAATAAGTCCTTCAAATGAGATGGACCTTTATGCCAGGCTCTCCTCAGTACACATCCAAGAATTAACCATCTGGAGAGCACTTCCTTTGTCGCTGTCAGAGATGTAGAGGCCTAGAATCAGAGCAAGGTCTACCTATATTATACTGCAACCACAGACCTGCTTCTTTGAAAGAAAAATTAGCTGCTGTGCATATGTGCTGACTAGGAACATGCTGATAAGTGGATAGAGCAGATAGAGATATATACACTTTGGGGTTCCTTTATTGTCCAATCACAGGCTGGGGGGTGACCAAGATGTATTGCTTATCTACAGTAGAGAAAAATGGGGTCACCAAGCTGGCTGTGTTTTCAGGGCTTTGTAAATGTATCTCCCTAATGCTGCCTTAAGGGGACCCTTTAAGCGGACTTTATTGTATGGGATGCTGGCTTCTCTATCATGTGATTGCTGTGATTGGCTCTCACATTGGTCATATGGTCCCGCTGGCTCCTGATTGCAATCTCATCTGTAGACACATATGTGTGTCAGTTGGGCATTAAAGACCCATCTTTCTTGTTGTCAAATATATGCATTATGAGGTCAGCAAGAGTTTAAGAACTGGATGCATAGATATAGAAATTCTTTGGCAGGTAAAACAGTTCCATTATATTTATTCAACTGTGTATTTAACCCTTTGCTGGTTAAGCTTTTAACACTGACAGATAGTATTTTTGTTGTTATTATTCAAGTAATTATCCTAGTAATATGAAGAGTCAGCATCACTGGAAATTAGGGTTATATAATTAACAATTTAATTTTCTGCATGATCAAGCCTTCTGCTTTTACTGCAGAGTCGCTCCACCAATAAATGACACCCATGCAGCTTCAAGTGGTATGGGTCTCCCAACTATTCTGCTAAGTGCTGTATCTCAAATCAGAACATTTTTGATGGTGGATAAAGGTTGAGCCTGCCTGCTTTCTGAATGCCAAGGATTGAAACCAACACACGTGCGGCTTACCCACCTGCTGTACATAATATGTATATTGTATGCAAGCCATGTCCCTGTACAAACCATTGTTTATTAGGAAAACTGTAAAAATGATTAAAGGAATATAGAAACAGTGCCCTTATTCCCATTCAAATAAAAAAAATGAAATAAATAAATAATTAAAAAAAAAAAAAAAATATATATATATATATATATATATATATATATACTGCTCAGAAAATTAAAGGAACACTTTGAAAACACATCAGATCGCAATGGGGAAAAATATCATGCTAGATATCTATAATGATATGGACCGGGTAATGTGTTTGGAACGTAGAGATGCCCCATCGTCTGATGGAAATAAAAATTATCAACCTACAGAGGACTGAGTTCAAAGACACCCCGAAAATCAAAGTGAAAAATGGAGCAGACTAGCCTATTTTGCTGAAATTTCATTGCTGTAACTCAAAATGGTACTCAGTAGTTTGTATGACCCCCACGTGCTTGTATGCATGCCTGCCAACATCAGGGCATGCTCCTAAAGAGACAAAGGATGGTGTCCTGGGGTATTTCCTCCATGATCTCTACCAAGGCATCACTGAACTCCTGGACAGTCTGAGGTGCAACCCGGCAACATCAGATGGACCAAAACATGATATCCCAGAGGTGTTCTATTGGATTTAGGTCAGGCGAGTGTGGGGGCCATTCAATGGTATTAATTCCTTAATTTTCCAGGAACTGCCTGCATTTTCACACCACATGAGGCCGGGCATTGTTGTGCACCAGGAGGAACCCAGGACCCACTGCACCTAGGTTCTGACAATGGGTCCAAGGATTTCATCCCTATACCTAATGGCAGTCAAGGTGCCATTGTCTAGCTTGTAGAGGTCTGTGAGTCCCTCGATGAACATGCCTTCCCAGACCATCACTGACCCGCTACCAAAATGGTCATGCTGAACGATGTCACAGGCAGCATGACATTCTCCATGGCTTCTTCAGCCACTTTCATGTCTGTCACATGTGCTCAGGGTGAACCTGCTCTCATCTATGAAAAGCACAGGTGCCAGTGGCGGACCTGCCAATTCTGGTGTTCAATGGCAAATGCCAATCAAGCTCTATGGTGCCAGGCAGTGAGCACAGGGCCCACTAGAGGACGTCGGACACTCAGGCCACCCTCATGAAGTCTGTCTGATTTTTTGGTCAGAGACATTCACACCAGTAGCTTGTTGGAGGTCATTTTGTAGGGCTGTAGCAGTGCTCATCTTGTTCCTCCTTGCACAAAGCACCGTCCTGCTGATGGGTTAAGGACCTTTTACAGCCCTGTCCAGCTCTCTTAGAGTAACTCTCTGTCTCCTGGAATCTCCT